GGGTCTGTAGCCAGTTCCTAGATATGAAGAATAAAGCGGGGCACGGGGTGAAACCACGCTTCTCAAATACAGCCTCCAAGCCTGAGCACTTTTCTCTCATAAACCTAGCCTAGCTGACTTTTAAACCTGTTTTGTTCCTGCCTCTGTGGTACCCTGCAGCAGCGAGTGCTGCGTGGAAAAGCTTTTCCGTGTATTTGCTGTAAGCCTGCTGAGTGTTTTTACTAGAGCTCCTACCCACTCGGCCTGGCCGCAGGTGCTTGGGGTGCGGGGGGTGGGCATCAGCTTTACAGCAACATCTGTCTGAACGGTGCTGGGAACTGCATGGCCCTTCTGGGGGATTTAAATCGACCTGGATTTCTTCCCATGCAGAGGGGCTCGGGTCTGGGACAGCTCCTCCCGTGGGATTTTTTGAACCTGGGGGGAATATTTTTATGCAGATTCCTACGCGGTGTTCAAAACGCACCACAAGCAATTTTATTTTATACACAGGTCCCCGCTGTGGTGGGGTCCTGTGTCACCCTGTTTCTCTCGCTCCATCTTCTTCCCGTTTCAGGCAGCAACCGAGCCGGATGCCGACAGACGGGCGTACGCAGGTGAGGAGCAGGGGCTGCGCCCCAGCGTGCATGGGGTACCCCGCTGCGCGTTTCCCCCGACACGGATGTGCAATACGGCCTTGTGAGGAAACGTGGCTTCAGTTGCCATCCTCGGAACAAGCTGCTTGGGGTGGCCACGAGAGCCACTGACCTTACTTGCAAGGCTCTGGGGGGTCTGAGAGCCCACTTTGAGCCCGAGGGAACTCCTGTGGGACAGCCTGTGGGGAGGGAGGGCGGTGGGAAGGGGTCCCCTGTGTTGGATACCACTGCAGTACTTGTAGCCGGTACTAACATGGCCACATTGCAAGGTGTGGGTGGTGTTGGTGCCTCTGCTCTGATCCCTGCCCCACTCCCTGCAGTGTGGGTGTCTGAGATCATGCTCCAGCAGACGCAGGTGGCTACAGTGATTGACTACTACAACCGCTGGATGCAGGTGACTGTTCCTCACAGAGTCCTGTGCCCACAGGCTGCCCCTTTTGGAGACCTTGTCCACTGCCTGTGGCAGACCCCCAGCTGCAGAGCACGGCTCTGCTTGTCCCTGACTTGTCCCCTCCCCTCTGTACCGCAGAAGTGGCCGACGCTGCAGGCTTTGGCGCAGGCATCCCTGGAGGTGAGCGTTGCTGGGGCCGGGTGCTCTCCCTGCCCTCATGGCTCTTCCCACGCCCCATCTAACAGCACGCTGCGTCTCTTGGAGCAGGAGGTGAACGAGCTGTGGGCAGGACTTGGCTACTACTCCCGAGGGAAGCGTCTGCAGGAGGCAGCAAGGAAGGTGCCTTGGTGCTGGGATGTGGGGGTTATTCCCAAAGCCCTCTGTGGCCTGTGGGTTGGTGCTGGCTCCCGTCTGCCCTGCCTCGCTGGGGCTCTGTGCTGCTGGCACAAGGCTAGGATCCTGTGTTACTGTGGGTAGAATGGATTGTACCCACGCACCCCAGCTGCTCCCTGACCTCAGCCCCCTCTCTGGCAGGTGGTGTCCGATCTGGCTGGCCGGATGCCCAGGACGGCTGAGGACCTGCAGAAGCTGCTGCCGGGAGTGGGCCGATACACGGCGGGAGCCATCGCGTCCATCTCGTATGGGCAGGTGAGAGCTGGGTGTCAGTGGATGCGTCTCCCCTCTCTGCCACTCAGCCCCGCTGCTGGCATGGTCCTGCTGCCGGGCCTCGCAAGCCAGGGGCTCCCCAGGGCTGCGCTTGCCTCTGGCTCCCCCCGCTTTGTGGTGCGTCTCGCCCGCTGCCCAGCTTGGCCTGTGGGTCAGCCTTGTGTGTTGTGTGTGTCCCCTCTGTCCTGGGAGCACCCCAGCTCCCTGCCTTGCCAGGAGCATGGGCACCTCCCAGCACGGTAACCCCAGCTCCTGGTCCCAGGCTACCGGCGTCGTGGATGGGAATGTGATCCGGGTCCTATGCCGCCTGCGCTGCATCGGTGCCGACTCCAGCAGCCCGGCTGTCATCGACCGGCTCTGGTA